TTGTGTTTGGCACGCCCAGGCTGGATTCAAACCGGCCAGCTCTGGTTTATGTGGCTGGAGCCTTAGTCGCTTGAGCTACAGCGCTACAGGTGCTGAGCCCCCATCATTTTCTTTTTTTTTTTTTTAAAACAACCAAACTCTGATCACCTAGAAGGGCAGGTGCCATACTCCAGAAGAGGCTATAAGACATATATGTCCACTTGAGAGTACATGTTGGCACCTGAGACAGGACTTGGTCTGAGACTTCGCATTCACTGGTCAGACCCTCTGGCATCAAGGACCTGAACCTTAGTACCTTCAGGTCGTAGGGGGCAGGTTCCTGGTAGGCACCTCCATACCCGAAGACCCTTGCTCCTCCTCTCCAGCCAACATCCTGCCTACTGGCCCCCTCCTGCCTGCACAGGGCTCCTCCCTGGCTGCCACAGCTGGTTTCCTCTGCCTCTCAGCTCCATTCTGCCCCCTTTGCAGAGCTTCTTTCACATCAATGTTGGCTTTCCAGAACTCTCCAACTCGCTTCATGCTCATCACTTTGACATCTTTGTTCACACCTGGCCTCCCCACACACTCACCACACTCGAACTGACCTTAGCATTCTCTCCCAAACCTCTTCCTCTCCTTGCCCCTATCCCAGGGACAACCCACTGTCCCGGTCACCCAGACCTGCTTCTTGGACTCATCCCAGATACCACTTCCTTCCTACCCCATGCCCTTTGTGGTCCAAACCCTCCCTCCTGTCCCACTAGGGTCCCTCCCTTGCCTCCTCCCTGATCTCCTGGCTGCCAAGTCTGTTTTCACAGACCATGACTACACCCATTTATCTTCCTTCAGGGTTCCGCCTCCTCTAGGAAGTCCTCCCTGACTTCCTCCTCTGCCTCCCCAACCCCCACCTCCATCTCTGTTCCTGATCATCTTCTAGCTTTCCTGGTTTGGGGAGTGGGTTGTAGGCAGGATGTATTTTTCCCCACCCTGATTCAGGAAAGAGATATTGTTCTAAGAGCTGGGCCCCATAATGGTCTTTTAGAAACCCTTAGAGGCCAATGAGTAGGATCCAGGTGGCCTTCCTGAGGCAGCCTCCACCTGGTGTTGACCAGCCCTGCCCAGGAGGGAAGTGGGCTGAATGAAGGGTAGAAGATTGCCTAATCTGTGGCCTGGAGAATCTGCTGGGTCAACAAGTGACAAAGGGGAAGTGGAGCAGAAGGGAAGTGGGACATGGGCTTGGCTGAGTGGGCTGTGTCCCGCTGCCGCCATGCAGCCCTTAGCTTTCCTTTTCTGTATCTGTGCCATGTAACCTTCCTGAGCCTCACCCCTCTTAGAGCCAGGAGTGTACCACTCTAGATGAGCACCTGGAGAAAGAGTGTGAGTCTCCTATGTGATTTTATATTTTCCAGCAGGCAAGCAAAAGATAAGCACAAAGAAAGAAATCAGGTGGCTCGGTGCCTAGGGCTCAAGTGGCTAAGGCACCAGCCACATACACATAAGGTGGCAGGTTTGAATCCAGCCCCGGGCCACCAAACAACAATGATGGCTGCAACCAAAAAATAGGTAGGCATTGTGGCAGGCGCCTGTGGTCCCAGCTACTTGGGAGGCAGAGGCAGGAGACTCACTTGAGCCCAGGAGTTGGAGGTTGCTGTGAGCTGTGATGCCACGGTACTCTATCCAGGGGAATAGCTTGAGGCTCCGTCTCAAAAAAAAAAAAAATGAAAGAAATCAGGTAAAATTAATTATAGTAACGTATTTTATTTAACCCAATATATTTAAGAGTGTATCATTTTAATATGTGATCAATATTTAAAAAGTCTTGAGGGATTTAATATTCATTTTATTTTATTTTTTTCAGAGACAGAGTCTCACTTTGTCGCCCTTGGTGAAGTGCTGTGGCATCACATCTCACAGCAACCTCTAGCTCTTGGGCTTAGGCGATTCTCTTACCTCAGCCTCCTGAGTAGCTGGGACTACAAGTGCCCACCACAATGCCTGGCTATTATTTTGTTGCAGTTTGGCTGGGGTTGGGTTTGAACCTGCCACCCTCGGTGTATGGGGCTGGTGCCCTACTCACTGAGCCACAGGCGCTGCCCTCTGGTGTGAATTTTATATTCACAGTACTTCTTACCTGTCACAAATATTCTGACATATTTTAAATACTTAGTAGCCTCATGTAGCCAGTGGCCATGAGTGTCAAACTGCTTAGGGCTAGACTTCCTTGACGAATGTTCCAGAGTGTCTGCAAAATTCTAACATTTAATTACTGGAGCTCTATGCTTGGAAAGTTGGAACATTCTAGAATCATATGATTCAAATAGTCTGTAACTCACACTGTAGGCTCCCTTGGGTCCAATAGTCTGTGACTCCAACATTCTAAGAATCTGTGATTCTAATACTTCAGTCTTCAGAGTCTGATTTCGATCGGGGTCAGCAAACTCTGGCATGTTGCTTGTTTTTGTAAATAAAGTTTTATTGGAACAAAGCCATGCACATTCCTCTATGGAGGCTTTTGTGCTGTGGGGACAGAGCTGAGTCATTGTTACAGACCTCAAGTGACCTCTTAACTGGCAAAAATGAAAATATTTACTGTCTGGGCCTTGACAGCAATTGTTTACTGTTCCTTGGTCTAGATAATCAAAGAGTCTAAGAATGATGGTGGTTTCACTGGTGCTTCCTTTATGGTTGTGCTTTGTGACTTGCACATATGTTAAGACATCCTTTTCCATGCATCATATATCACATAATATACATCATTTTATATTATACTATTCAAAAGAGAAAGAAAAACTTCGGCTCCCCCATCTTAGACACTCATCCTGTCAGGTTCCTATAATTTCATTAGGTTGAACTCTATGAAATGGCCAAAGGTGAGGTGAGGGCGTCTAATTATTTACTTATTGCTCTTGAAAATTGTGGTAAGGACGGCGCCTGTGGCTCAGTGAGTAGGGCGCTGGTCCCATATACTGAGAGTGAGGGTTTGAACCCGGCCCTGGCCAACCTGTAACTAAATAAATAAATAAATAAGCAAGTTAAAAAAAATGGAAAAGAAAAAAAGAAAATTGTGGTAAAATGCACCCAACATAAAATTTCCCATCAGTAGCATTTTCCACCTTCACAATGTTGTGCAACTGTTACTGTTATTCAGTTCCAGAACTTTCTCACCACTCCAAAAGGAAATTCTGTACCCATGGATCAGTCATTCCCTACTTTCTACCCCCTTCACCTCTGGTAACCACTGAACTGCATTCTCACTTCTTATGGATTTGCTGAATTTCAACCTTTTTTGATCTACAAAAATGGCAGTTTTATAGGGGTAGACTTAATAACCTAGGAGGTTCTCATGCAAAGAACTAAAAATAGCCAGTGAGTTGAGGGACTGGTACTCAGCATTTCACGGGTGGGTGCTGGTGGTGGTGGTGGTGGTAGTGGTGGCTGAGAGAGAAACTGTCCCCTCCTCCCCTCGCTGCATGCACACAAACTGCCCTCTCTCCTGCCTTCTGAGGCCTGTAGAAACCCTGTCCTTGGCCCACCACAAACCCCAGACCCCTAGGTGAGAGCCTCTGCTCCAGGAGCACCAGAAACATTTGCCTCCCAGAATCTGAGAAACTTATGCCCAAAAACTTGGTGGCTAGAGTTTATTAAGATCAAGTCATCTGAGAAACAGACGCTCAGGCCAGAGACAGTTCAGGCAGCCTCCCTCTCTAGGTTTCTTCTATGACAGTCTTTTTTGCCAGGGCGGGTTCCCACAGGGGCCTGGGGCTGGCAGGATGTGGGAGATGAGGAGGTCTCCCAAGACAGACAGCGGTGGGAGGGGACGAGGAGATGTTGTCTCTACCTCCCCCCCTAGGTCCAGGGTGAAGCTGAGCCAGGACAGGGTCACCCAGAGAGGACACGGGAGATGCCTCTAGTCAGATAGCAAGTCCTGGCCTCTTGCCTCATATACTACTTCCTCTAACAACATGAATTTATTCTCTAAAACAACAAGAGAGATGTACAAACATATCCCCTCAATCCCTAAGCGTGCACCAGGAGAAGCAGAAACTCCGAGAACTGCTGAATAGAGAGGTTCAGATCTGGAGTGGGAGCCACTTCCTCTTGCCAAGGCTGCATTGTGTGGGTGTGTATTTTAAGAATTTATATTATATCCTTTGTTGCTGTTAACTTTGCAAACACGCACACAGCCTATCCTACGTGCTAAGTGCTCTTATTAGTGTTTTCAGTCTGCTCAATGCACGTTGCAACTTTCCATTTCACAGATGAGGAAAGTTGAGGCTCAGAGGGGTCAACAAAGGTGGATCTGGAATACAAATCTTGTCATTCTGGCCCTTGAGTCCTTGTTCTTAGCCACCATGCTGTACTGAGAGAGCAGATTGAGAATAACTATGGGCTAACAGCCTTCCATTTTATAGATGGAAAGTTGAGGCCCAGAGTGGGGATGGGACGTGTTGGTGTTTTGTCTACTATTGAGGCCTCAGGCCCTGCACTCAGCTGCCAGTGGGGACCACGTGTGCCTGAGCTGTCTTCTTTGGGGCACATGAGGGGGGAGGAATATCTTACATGTCCTTTGTGGCTCTGCAGATGGCCAAAGGGTAGCCTGGTGGTGGACAGTTGGTGCTCTGTGGGGAGACCTAATCCAGGCCAGGACCTCTAAGACCTTGAAGGACAAACTACATCCAGGTCTGACTTCCAGAAAGCTGGGACTTTGAAACTAGGGTTGGGGACACAGGGTCAGCTTTCCAGCCACTGGAGCCCTCTCTAACCTCACCAGCTACCCCATAATTTTGGGCTATGTGAGTCATGGGAAGAAGCCAGGACAAACACACCCTGGGGGTGGGAAAAGGTCATTCCTGTTTTTTCCTGCTCATGAAGTTTCATTCACTAAAGCCCGTGAGGTGGCAGTGCCCAGAAGTGTCCAATAGAATTTCTGAAAAACAGGGTGGTTTCCAGGACTCCACCAGCTGGCAGATACAGCGGGGAGAAAACCCTAGACCTCCTGGGTCCCAGCCGGGAGCTGGGACTGTGATCCTGAGTGGTGTTTGGCCAAATTGGGAATCTTTTTGGAAGAGACGGTAAGGATGGAGAGAATGACGGAGGGAAGGAGGAAATGGAAAGGATTTCATGATCTTGGCCTCTTAGAATCATTACTTTCACAATCTAGAAGTCAGAACTAGAATTTGGGAAGTGGAATTTTATTACCACCACACTGGAATCTACATTAGAATTCCAGAGTCTCAGAATTAGCTTGAGCAGCCCAATATCAGAGTTTCTGTTAAAGGATCCAAACAGGTCAGGTGCAGTGGCTCATGCCTGTAACCCTGACACTTTTTTTTTTTTTTTCAGTTTTGGGCCGGGGCTGGGTTTGAACCTACCACCTCTGGTATATGGGGCTGGTGCTCTACTCCTTTGAGCCACAGGTGCTGCCCTACCCCTGACACTTTGGGAGGCTAAGGTGGGAGGATTGCTGAGCCCAGGACTTTGAGGCTTTAGTGATCTGTGATCCTGTACAGAGATGTACAGGAAACAGCCTCTCTCAAAATGCCAGGGATTCCTATAGCTTCTGGAAAATCCACCAGACTGTACTATGCCCAGTGAACAAGCCCTTCAATTCAGAGCTTCTCTCTTTTCTTTTTTTCTTTCTTTCCTTCTTTTTTCGTTCTTTCTCTTCCTCTCTTCCTTCTTTCCTTCTTTCTTTAATTTTTTTTTTTTTTTAGACACAGTCTCACTCTGTCACCCAGGCTAGAATGGTGGTGTCATAGCTTACAGCAACCTCAAACTCTTGGGCTCAAGAGATCCTCTTATCTCAGCTTCCTGAGTATCCCGAGTAGCTGGGACTATAGGCACCGTTCACAATGCCTGCCTGTTTTTTCTATTTTTAGTAGAGATGATATCTCACTCTTGCTCAGGCTGGTCTCAAGCCCCTGAGCTCAAGCAATCCTCAGGCCTTGGCCTCCCAGATTGCTGGGATTATAAGCATGATCCACTGTACTTGGCCTAACAATTCCATTTCTTAATTTATTTTGATGTATAACATATATACAGAAAAGTACACAAGTCATGACCGGGCTGTTCGAACAATCTTCATAAGATGATCACACCCACAGAACCAGCACACGGGCCAAGCACCAGCATAAGCCTATCCCCAGAAGCTTCTGGAGACCTTCCCAATCACTCCCCACCCCCACCAAGGGTAATAAATCCTGGCTTCTAACACCATAAAGACCTTTTCTTATTTTTGAACTTCATATGAATGAAATCAACATTATATCATGAAATCCATCCCTTTTGTTCCAGAATATTACGGGGGTACAAATGTTTTGGTCACATGAATTGCTTTGGAGGATTTCAATCCTCAATTTGAGTCAAAATTATACCATCTGGCTGGACACCATGGCTCATGCCTGTATAATCCCAGCACTGGGTGAGGCCAAGGCAGGAGGATCACTTGAGGTCAGGAGTTTGAGATCAGCCTGAAGGAGAGCAAGACCTTGTCTCTACTAAAAATAGAATAGTAGCTGGGCATTATGACCTGTGTCTGTAGTGCCAGCTACTTGGGAGCCTGAGGCATGAGGATCTCTCCAGTCCAAGAGTTTGAGGTTGCTGTGAGCTACGACACCACCGCACTCTACCCAGGATGACAGAGTGAGACTCTGTCTCAAAAAACAATTATGCTATCCATGTTCTTGCATGTGGCTTGCTCTTTCTCACTGTGCAGGTTATTCCACTGTGGGAACATAGCATGAAGTGCTCATCCTCTCTGATGTCGGTGACTGGATAGTTTCCCATCTTGGGCTGCTGTGAACCTTCTGGTACATGTCTTTTAGTGAGGATTTGTGTGCTTTTCTGGGGGGAGGCAGATTCCTGGGAGAGGAATCCTAGTTTAGCTTCAGTAGCTTCTGCTCCACGGTTTCACAGAGCAAAAGTTTTAGCACCCCTGGCTGATACACAAACACACACGTACCAGGAGGTACACACTGGGGTGCTTGCAGTCACCAAAACTGAGAGATCTAAGTGACTTCTCAGCCTCTCTGTGCCTCAGTTTCCTTTTCCACTCACCAAATACTGATTGAGCCCCTGTGGTGCTACAGACTGTTCTAGATGCCACAAGATACAGTAGAGTACAAAGCAGGGAGGAGCTGATTTTCTCAGAATGGGCATAATAATCTTGATGGTCTGAAAAATACAGATAATAATAGTTACTTCCTATGATTGTTATGAGTGTTATGCCTGGTATATAACAGGTGCTCCATAAATGCCATCTACTATTTTATTTTATTTATTTATCATTATTGCAGAGAAGAGATGTGACTGGAACAGATGGGAAAAGGGTGAAGGAGAAGGCACAGTACTTACAGGAACTGCAGTACCACTTGCCAAGCTGCTTCAAGAACTTTTCATTTATTAGCTCATTTATTTATTTACTTATTGAGACTGAGTCTGACTCTATCATCCTGGGTAGAATACCATGGTATCATAGCTCACAGCAACCTGAAACTCTTGGGCTCAAGAAATCTTCTTCTTCTTCTTTTTTTTTTTTTTTTGAGACAGTCTCATTATGTCGCCCTTAGTAGAGTGCTATGGCATCACAGCTCACAGCAACCTCTAACTTTTGGGCTTAAGTGATTCTCTTGTCTCAGCCTTCCAAATAGCTGGCACTATAGGCACCCACCATAACACCCAGATATTTTTTTGTTGCACTTGTCATTGTTTCTTAGCTGGCCCAGGCTGGGTTTGAATCTGCCAGCCTTGGTGTATATTGCTGGTATCCTACTCACTGAACTACCGGCACTGCCCAAGAGATCTTCTTACCTAGCCTCCCAAGTAGCTGGGACTATAGGCACAAATCACAATGCCCAGCTACTCTTTCTATTTTTAGTAGAGACAGGGTCTTGCTCTTGCTCAGGCTAGTGTCGAACCCCTGAGCTCATGTAATCCACTTGCCTTGGCCTTCCAAAATGCTAGGATCACAGACATGAGCCACTGTGCCCAGCTCCATCTATCATTTTAATTATTATAAAGTAATGAGAATAGTGATTATGTTTAATACATAGATATATAAGCAGAGATGCTTCTCAACTTATGATGGGGTCACATCTCTACAAACCCATTGTAAGTTGAAACTTTTTTTTTGAGACAGAGTCTCACTCTGTTGTCCCAGGCTAGAGTGCTGTGGGGTCATAGCTTACAGCAACCTCAAACTCCTGGGCTCAAGCAATCCTCTTGCCTCAGCCTCCCTAGTATCTGGGAATATAGGTTCCAGCCTCCCAAGTAGCTAGGACTACAGATACAGGCCACAGTGCCCAGCTAGTTTTTTTTATTTTTAGTAGAGACAGGGTTTTGCTCTTGCTCAGGCTGATCTCGAACTCTTGAGCTCAAGCAATCCGCCGGCCTGGACCTGTCAGAGTGCTAGCAGGCCATAAATTGAAAATGCATTTAGTCATTTAGTACACCTGACCTACTGAACATTATAGCTTAGCCTAGCCTACCTCAAATGTACTGAAAATAATCATACTAACCTATAGTTGAGCAAAGTCATGTAACACAAACCCTATTTTATAATATAGTATTGACAGGCTTGGTAGCTCATGCTTATAATCCCAGAATTTTGGAAGGCCAAGGTGAGAGGATCTCTTTTTTTTTTTTTTTT